CCTTCCCCATCATCTTCATCATCTCCATCAACTTCTCATTCATCAAATTTTCCATAGAATTACCCTCATAAAAAGATTCATTAGAAGCATAAGGCAAATCATTTGGAGCCATGTAAGAACAAGAAGATGAAGAGAGAGGATCATGCATTTGAGAGTTTGGGGTATGGGGAGCATCATTGAAGTCCATGCACATATTTGATGAAAATTGTGAAACAACATGAACATTATCAACATTGAAATGCATCTCACCACAATTAGTATACAAGGGGGAAGGGTTGACATCATGCATTATGGGTTCATCTTGGAGAACAAAGGATTCATCATTAGACATCATACAAGAACTAGAAAAATCATTACAATTTGCATTAATATCTTACTCATAGCTACCCCTAGCAACCCACATATAGAAATCCTAAGCCTCATTTAAAGATTTGGTTCGGAATTCACCATTACACATGTTTTCAATCACTCTCATAGTATACTCATTTAAACCCCCAATAGATGACCTCACAAGCCTCCCATAAGGAACAACCATGACAATTAGAGAAGTCTTCAAACCTATTAAAATAAACCCAAAAGGGTTCATATTCAAATTGGGGCAAAGAAGAATCAGACATCACATTTTGGACAAATTCATCCATGACTCAATGAAGACAAACAAATAGCAACCAAACAAGAAAGCTCAAGTGGTATACACAAACAAAAAGAAAAACAAAAAGAAAACAAACCAAATGAAAATTATACACAAAGGCCTAGACTCAATAAGGTAATGACACGATAATGGAAGTCGTTCCCCGGCAACGACGCCATTTTGATGAAGTGAAAAATAGGTCGTTACTATCTATCCCTAAATCAAGTAAAATATATAACCTAGGCTAACTAAACACACAAGTATATGGTAAGCAAAGGGTCAATCCGCAGGGAAAGGTCAAACACTACAATTACTATAAAAAATTAAGCTAGTTCGACAAGACGAGAATTGATTAAAGCAAATACTAAACCAACTAATCACAAGGTAAATTCTATATGACAAGCACTAAGGGTGTTCATGACCAATACATGCGATGAGAGCGTGGCACTAGAGCGCAAAGCCGTGAGTAGGAGTTTGCTTCTGAACTTGATCCTTAGGCATCCGAATGGTATGAGATCTCGTCCCGAGCATCCAAAAGATTTGGAGAATCTTCTAAAATAAATCCAGAGCCCCGAACAAGACCTACAATAAAGGAAAATAATGCGAGTAGAGAAAAAAAGACGAAAATACCCTTAATTCACAAGAAATCATAAAATAAAGGAAACGAAGAAACTAAAACACAAATGAACGAAACTAAAGCATTATTTAAAGAGAAAAGCTATAAAAGAGAGGAAAAACAACCTAAATTGCTATCATATGAGTGTTGATTAGGGTATTTTTACCCCGCCACGTGGTCCAATCAGAGTCCGCCATGTGGACCAATCAGAGTCCGCCACGTGTCACCCTAAGGAGAGCCTAAAGTGGAACTACCAGGGCTCGACACGTGGCAGACAGATATCCAATATAGGAATGGCAGCCTTCAAGGCCCAAATCGCTAGGCAGCCTGTCAGTCCTAGGTTTCTATAACTAGGAAGGGCACGCATTTCGAGACCCTATAAAAGGGAGATGTTTCCTCCTAGAAAACACGTTTAGAATATTCAATACATTCAACGCAAGAGAGATTAATTAATCAGATAGAGCATTAATTGCAGAATTAATTGCACACGAGAGTGAAATACTCGGATACTGAGGCTGCTTGTGATAGCCGGATGGTCATTTCTCTCCATAAAGAAACCTGATCCCACTTTACATTCCGCACCTTTTATCTTTCGAACACGTTCTAACTTGATCATCGGAGGCGGAGCTCCACCCAATCGGAGCCTCTGTTGTTTTGCAGTACAGGCGCCCGGAATCCAGTCTTGGAATTGTAACTCACCCGAGGGACACAGAAAACCCCGAAACAAGTGCCATAAATGACACTCATCATTAAGTTAGGCTGGTTAGTACGATCTAATGCCATCACAGTAAATTGAAAATTCGCTGTGACACCGGCCATATGGTGTAATAAGGAGGGAGTAGTTTGGGCTTAGTTAGGAGTTTGGACTCTAATTATACATGTGATGTATAAATAGATGTCTTGCCTAAGTTTTGTAGACAGCCCACAATACACTAGAGCAGTAGATTATGAAGCAAGCAACCAAACCTTAAGCCCTCCTACGCCTCTCTCATCTCACTCCTCCTCCGTCCGTACAGCCGTACGGCTCCCCCCACAAAGTGGTGCTCGGTGGTGGTTCTTGGTGGTTCGTGGCCGGTTTCTCCTCCCCCCTCTATAGAAGGTGGATCGAAGGTGTTCGTTCCCAACTAACTAGCATTAGCGGAGGTTAAATCGTAGCCCATGGACCAAGTAGACGAATCACACTTGAGTAACTATTCTCCTAGAGTTCGTGGTCGATCGCACGTGAAAATCACGCATCAAAGGTATAATATTGTGTTCTTTAAGTGTTATGATTTTAGATCCTTGTTTAGGTGAGAACGAATATGATTCGTGAAATTCTGCAATATAGTACCTAATTCCCTACAGTGGTATCAGTTAGCCTCTTGCATATACGCATATTGACCATAATTTTTTATGCCCACAATTTTAATATAATTATAAGAGGGAGAATAATTAATTTATGGGTCAATTATTATTTTAAATGGTGATTTACCATATGGAATCGTTAAATATGATTTATTATGCTCGAATTTTGCCTAAAATTGGACCGAAAATTGCCCTAAAGTGATCGAAAATTTCGGACCTCCCAAACCCTAATTTGAAAAAATTCGAAGTCAATTGGTCAGACCAATTGTTAGACTTTAGATTGGAATTTGAACCCCATAGTTCCATGTGCGGCGGGGGCGGGGGATGGGGGCGAGGGAGAGGTGGTTGGGCCGGTGGGGGAGGGGGTGTGGGTTTTTTAGTTAATTAATTAATTATTTTTGTAAAACTTTTAAATTTCTTTGACCAATCACATGCTGACACATGTCAGACAACTTGTTATACTCCCTTTATCCCACAATAACTGACACAGTCAAACTTTGCACACATGTCGATGCAATAGTTTGTCCTACTTTTAAATAATCAAATAAAAATAATTTTTTTTTACAAGGTTATATTATGAGACCTTATATTAATGTCTATCTAACAACATATTTCATGATAAAATATCTATTTGTTACATTTATAAAAAGCTATAGTCAAAGTTAATACATGAATAGTGAAATAAGGCCAACATGTTAGTTATTCTGGGACGGAGGGAGTAACAAGTTTGATGATCGGTTGGAACCATTGGAACCAAATTCACATTAAAGTTCGGATTATTAAAAAATAATCCAAATTGAGATTATTTTGGGCGGAAGAGGCAAAGTTAGGATTATTTGTGGGCAATTATTCGAAAATAATTTCAGTTCAGTAAAAATAATTTTAATTCAGTAAAATAATTTAATTTCAGCAAAAATTATTTCAATTCATAAAAAATAATTTCAGCTCAAAAAAAATAAAATAAAAAACAGGTGAAGTGAAATGGCCTAAATCTCAGAGATCAAGAAATGGCCTAAATCTCGTAACAATAGTAAGTACATAGTAGTAAGAACAAATAGAAATAGAGGTAGTACTATGTTGTTGAATTAGTCCTAATCTATTAACTATTACTAAAACTAGAAATTGTTGACATCATCATCTCCCAAACTGTATACGTGTCGCTTTCTCATAAAAAAAATTCCCGCCTAATGCACTTATGATGTCATATATATTTTTGGTTATTTTTTTTATTATTAATCATTTTCATTTCAATCTTTTGACTGTGTCAATAAATACATAAATAAATAATAATTATTTTCGGTAGCTACAAATATTTTTTTTTTATATTATTTTTATCTTTTTAAGGTTTTAATGTTATTTTGTGTATGTGTCAAAAAAAAAATGTTATTTTATGTATGTGTATTTTTTTTTTATAATTTTTTTTACAAAGGATTGTGCAAGCAACCTAACTATGAAGTCATGTACTAATCTATTAACTATTACTAAAACAGAAAATTGCTGACATCATCATCTCCTCAAACTGTATAAGTGTCGTTTTCTCATAAAAAAAATTCCCACCTAATGCACTTATGATGTCATATATATTTTTGGTTACTTTTTATTTTTAATATTTTCATTTCAATCTTTTGACTGTGTCAATAAATACATAAATAAATAATTATTAATAAATAATTATTATTATTTGGTAACTGCGAATATTTTTTTTATATTATTTTTTTTGTGTTTAAGGTTTTATTGTTATTTTGTGTATGTGTGTGGTTATTTTTTTTACTAAGGATTGTGCAAGCAACCTAACTATAAAGTCATGTACTAATAATATGGATGTTTGTTATACAAAAATGAACTAGTTTTGTCGGTAAATGTTTTCATTGTTTTGTATTTTCAAGGTGCTTCTATTTATTTCAATTACAAGTATTTTTAATTTGTATTTCGAACTCTTAGATGACAAATAAATTCGTATGCATATGGTTTGATTTGATTTGATTAGATTGGTCAGCTTTCATTTTTATATTTTGTTACTTATGTAATTTATGATGACAGATATGCTTTTATGATCTAATTTATAAGTATGTCCGGAGTAATAAATAACAGAAATAAGTTATTTCATTCCAATAAATTTTTTAATTCGTACATCGCACATGCCTAATCTAGTTTATTCTATATGTTCCAAAAGTTCGACTCGCTTATTGTAAATTCTTGTGATATAAGTGAGGGTATGAACAAAGTGAATAAAGTAAAAGAGTTTTTAAAAGGTGGTCAAGCGTCTATTATTGAGTACGTCTTGCATCCTGCGTATTATTTGGAAGACAATTTTAGAAGTCGGCACCATTGAATCGATTCCGTAATTTTCCCGTAAAGCCTTTCTTTTTTTTTTAAAGCCTTTTTTTTTTTTTTTTTTTTTTTTTTTTTTTTTAAAAGCATTTTCTTACCCAAGGTGGACCGTAGACGGATTTGACGGTTGCAAAAATTTCGCAATATTTTCAAGAGACTTCTGTTCTTCCTACTGCTCAGTTCTCTGTGCAACTTCGCATCTATTGGCAGGTACTCTGAATCTTCTCTATCTCTTTCTCTCTCTTTTCCTTTTTGAATCTTAACATCTTTTACTTTCTGCAATCTTCCTTTCTTGATTGTTGTGTTATTGTGTTCATAGTTCTTCTGCTATTCTTACTAATTTTAGTGTTAATTTTGTTTTTTTGCTTTATTTGTAATTACCCCATTTTTCTTGGTTTTGTTATTTGTTGATTTGAATTTTGATCTATGTTTTTCAATTGGTAATTATAGTTACTGATTGATCACACCCTTGAAAGTCAAATCCCCATTTGTTTTTTGAGGGAGGTTTATGAATTTTTTTGGCTGTGCTTGTGTGTTTGAATGATAGATTGGGTCAAAATTTATTAGGCTGCTTAATAATTTGATGCTATTTTTTAATGTTCATATCACCATAGTACCCCGTGTTGAACATTGGACACTTGACATGGGTATTGATACTCAGACCCTTGATTTCGGGTCAAAATCATGAAAAATCTTTTACAAAATAGCTGAATCAAATATTTGGACAAGTACCCATGTCCAGCACGAGTACCCTGATTAGTATGAGTTACACAGGGTGTAACATGAACAACATTTGATGAAGTAATAAATCTGGAAAGGAAAAAAAAAATGTGAAGGAAGATGTAGCAAATGATGGACAAATGGAAGGAGAAGAGCTATGAATTTGGGTATGGGTATCAGGTTATGTGGATATTGTGTGGCTTTTTTTTTTTTTTTTTTTTTTTTTGGGGAGGGGGTATTATACTGGCTTGAATTGCGTTTTGCTGATCAGTTTTGTTAATACATTCACTCATCAATTTAATATATAGACATGTAGTATATTGTAGTATTGTGAGGTTTTGATTGAAGAAGATTTTTTATATGCTAAACTAAACTCTATGTTGAGGAGGTTTAAGGAAATAAGAACCCTTGTAAAGCGTTTAGGGTTGTATGAAAAGAAGGGTTAATTTGGGGTTGCTCAAATTTGGACATTGAATCTAGGATTTGTACTTTGAAGATAGGAGCTTTGGTTTGTAATTAGAAATGAATGGGCCCGCTCTTTAGCAAGGTTGCTTTAGTTTTTTGATTAGGAATGGATATTTACATTACTTAATGTTTAGTATACTCTGTTGTAGAATGGAATTGTGGAAAAAAACTTTGGAATCTCAAGGCTTTAGGATGTGTAGAAGTAAGATCAAGTAATATATGGAGTGTAAGTTTAGTGGGTTTAGAAGGTAGGAGGCATAGATGATCACCTTGGATGGACTGATGGATGGAATATCGTCCTATGTTTTGATTTATTTATTTGTTATCTAGGATGTATTATCAACTCCTTTTCTGAGTGCCACTTTGTGGTATTATCTAGGATGTATTATCCAAAAGGAGATATTGCTTATACTAGTATAATCAAAACAGGTTAGTTGGTTGAAGTAGAAGAGTGTTATGGGATTTCTATGTGGCATGCCCCATAGGTTGAACGGAGAATTCTATGACAATTTGGCTTACATTGCTATATGGCATGGAATGTTGGGTTGTGAAACAATGTCATGTTCATAAGATGAATGCGTTGGAGATGGATATGTTGTGTTGGATGTGTGGCCATACAAGAAATTATGGTTGATAGATGACATAATTAGGAGGGAAGAGGGGTTTCATTTATTGAGAATAAGATGAGGGAGAGTCACTTAAGGTGGTTTTGCCATGTAAGACGAAATCATAGTGATGCACCAGTTAAGAGGATTCAAGAGTGGCTTAGTGATGAGATTGTGAGGGGTAGGAGAAGACCTAAGAAAATTTGGATGAGACTATGAGAGTGATTGAGATTGATATGAATCTATCGTGGGGTTGGGAAAATATGCTCAAGAGCTTTAAATGTAAAAATGAGATCTTCTAAAATACTCTTTCCTTTTGGCTTTTCAAGTTTTCGTGCATTGAAAATGCTATTCGTCTGGGTAACTAATTTTCTGAATCCAGGAAGCTAACTTTAAATTTCCAATAGTTTGGTAAAATTTGGTTGCAGTGCATTTGTGCTAACTCTCACCAAACTAATGGCATTTCAGTTAATCAATGTAAGCTTTGAATTAGAAGTCTTATTGAGTAATTGGGGAATTGCTGAAAATTTGCTTAAGAGCTTTCAAAGTAACATTGACGTTTTCTGAAATACTCTTTACTTTGTCTTTTCAAGTTTTTGTGCATCATTTGGGAAACTAATCTTCCTAATCCAGGAAGCTTTTTTTTAAATTTCCAATTGTTTGGTAAAATTTGGTAGCAGTACATTTAATGCTAATTTTCATTAGAATTGTGGCATGTTAGCTAGTCAATACAAGCTGTCAAATAGAGGGCTTATTGAGTAATTTTACTGTAGTCATTTAACCTTTTCCTTGTTAGTAAAGCAATCCGTCACCCTTTTATCTTTGTCAATGCAAGTTATTGACTGTCAATTCCATAACATGTCTCTAAGTACCTCAGTTTTCAAAAAAGTGGCTTTACCATATTATATTATTGATATTGATACCCTGTTGAATTTTTTATCACTTATAGAAGGTGCAAATTTCCACTGGATTGGTTTTGCAGGAAGCTCTACTAAGACTAAAGCATCTGATATAACTTTACTGAGAACAACCAATGTATCCTGGTGGGTATACTATTGAGGTAACTACCCTGTCTCCCAGAGCAACAGAAAAAGATGTTCGTGACTTCTTCTCACATTGTGGTGCTATTGAACATCTTGAAATCATCAGGTATCTTTCATGTCCCCTGCTCTTCTAGTCTGGTTATATATTCTACCAGAAACAGTATGTTAAGTTTCTGAATCACCCACGATATTATTTGCCTATTTGCTATCACATATAATTATATATTGAGGTTACACTTCTTAGTGCTCTTTTAGGGGAGAGAAGAAGGGGGGGGGGGGGAAATCCTAGTGAAACTGTCATTTATATTATATCTGCAATTTTTTGTTTCATGTTCTGGCTGTTGTGTTTCTTTTCATTATCTTAATTTGTTGTTCCTAGCGCTGTTTTTGACTGTTATTTTTGAACTATTTAGCTTTAGCCTGCAAATGTAATAAATAAAATAAAAAAATAAAAAATGGTGAATAAACTATTGAAGAGTCTCAAGACATTTTTGGCAATTACATATCAAATAAAATCCTGTGCAAGACTTGGATTGTTTAAAAAGTTTCTAAAGTTTCTATCTTTCATCCTTCAGCTCTCTGGGCCCAAATAATCAAATTGAACCAGGTTCTGATCTCCACAAAGATACCTGGTCTAAGTCTTAACACAGACTGGATGGCTCTCCCAATATCAGCAACTGATGTAGGGTGACTACACACAAGTTACACAATACTCCTGCTGTTCCTGCTCCATTGTTCCTCTACTGCAGAAAGAAAAGGAACATGTTTTCTTGTTTATTCTTCAAAATTTTATCCCTGTGACCCTGTCAGCTTCACAAATTAGTTTCTCGCGTACTTTAACCCACAACATCTACCAGGAATGCTTTGTTAAGTGTCATAGACAAGGATTGATGAGAGACACCCTAGTGGATAAAAATGTATTTGGTCCTTCGTGCTCTATTTACAGTGGAATGACACTTCGAAAAGTTGAAAACCATATCCTCCTCTACACCTCTTTGTTGTCAATTGTCAGAGCAGTAAAAGAAAGTTGAAGGAATGCATGGTTGGACATAAAATGTTCTGTGAAATAAAGAAGAAAGAAGTAATCTGATGGTAACCATGCATTTATAAGACACCTATATAATAGGCATTGAAGGTTAATATACTTAAAATACCAAAGGCAGCATCTACATACGCTCTAAAATATAAGATATGATTACTCAATAGGATTAGTTAATATAATCATAGATGTGAATTTTGTCTGGGTTTTGAGAATATGCATGAAGAGACTAAGTCGTCTTGAAGATGTGTGCAATGGGATGGGAAGCACATAAAGCTGTACATAGCATGCTGAAACTTCCACAATCAACTGGAAAGATAGCAGTTAACCTATTTATGTGAGTTGAGAATGACCTCTCCTCATGTTTCTTGTTTGTAACCCCAGAAACTAAGCTGCAAAGTTGTCATGTTTGACTTCTTATCTGACCCTAAATGCACAATGCAAACCATAAGGGTAGATAATTCCTTTTCTTAAAAAATTTTTATTCCCTTCAAATATTTCTTTGAGCTTTTATAGTATCAAAGTGAGGAATTGCTCACCTGACAAAATTTAGGAGGATTCCAAAGACATGCAGTGTAATCTTAAGAAAATGTGTTCTGCTAAGATTTAGTCTTGTGCCCTCCTTACTGCATATTGATTCTGTGTGTTACTTTTTCTTGCATCTGTATCCATTTTCCTTTTCTGAAGAATATTTTCACTAAGTTGCTTAGTTCTATAGCTAGCAATTCTGAGGATTATAGATCATCATTGATTCATTGCCCTTTGTACTTGTCTTGATATGCCAACTGTTACAATGATCCAGGTCTGGTGAATATGGATGTACTGCTTATGTGACATTCAAAGATTCTTATGCTCTGGAAACTGCTGCCTTACTCAGTGTATGTACAGCTGTCTAAAAACTTCTGAGCTTTTTCATTAATAATGGACTGCGTTTGGATTAATATACATATTGCATGATTTTTTGGTTGCTTATATTCTTCATGTAGTATAGGACTATGAGCTTAATATATGTATTCTTGTAATTTTGGTCATGGAATATGTGGATATCTGGTTTTAACTTCTATGGAAATTCATCATTAGCTTTCATGCTTGTTTTGTTTTTTTTATTTGTTTAAATATTTAGGTGAACAAGATGAATTTTGGACTTTTATGCAGTATTAAATGATGCCTTTTTTGATAGCCATTGAGGTCTGGAGGAAATTTAACTTCACATCTAACATGATTTTTAGCTATCCCACTGGTTCAGTTTCTCAAGATCTTTGGTCTATCCTCATTCCTCAGACTATAACCTTAGAAATTCCTAATAAATTGGATAGCAATTCTCTAACATCTACTTGTATAAGCTATTCTTGCCTTTGTGGTTCTTAGATGGGTAAGAAAAAAAGAATTATAGTGAAGTTATATGGTGTCCATGGATTCACCTATCCGTTCACACTTCATCAAAGGTTATTAGATTGAGCAATGAGAGTAAAGAAAATCTGAATTACTTGAAGGGATACTGCTGCCACTTCAAACACCGCACCATCCACCCTCCCCCCTTCCCCCCCCCCCCCCACCAAAAAAAAAAAAAAAAAAAAAACCTTACTACCTCTACAAGAGGCTGCGTAGTAACGCTCAATTGTTGAATTTAAAAGGCAACTCCTTAACAGGCAGTTCTTGGAGACTTTATGTTTTGAGTTATGTGATAAGACTTCATATTACATCCCTTGGCTTGGCTTTTGTGATCAAGATATATGTGACATTGTTGAGGGACAAATTCTATTTAATTAAATTTATGGAACCTTGTTCAAACGTGTAAAGCACCTATGTAAGTAACTTGATTACTTGGCAGCCATATTCCAGTAGCATTTTCAACTGATCAAAATTCTGCAAGTCATATCACACTATTTTCCCAGTCTTGTAGTTTTGGGAGGACATCAAATTGATTGGAATTGCTATTATGCACTGCCTTTGTTTCATAATATTCTCCCCACTTGGTGTAGAGTGTGAAAGTGGGTCATTTTTTTTTTAATTAGAGAATGTGGCTGTAAGAGAGTAAAGGTGGGTCCAACAAGTGGGGTATGTAGAATAGAAAGGGAAAAAACTTTTACTGAATAAGTTTTAAAGCAAGAGCGAATGACTTTAGGAAACAAAGGGAGTATATGCTAATATATTAATGTATATGCTTAATGCTGTCTCCTTGTATGTTCTCGGATGAGTTTATTCTGTACCATAAATGTTTCTTTTGAGCGCTTAATTAAGTAAACTTTGTTTTGTCATTCTGCCTCCTAGCTTATTCTCTATGCCTTTTTTCTTTAGGGAGCCACAATTGTTGATCAACGTGTGTGCATCACTCGTTGGGGATCTTATGTAGATGAATATGATCCTTTTAGTGATGCTTCATGGAGAAGAGCAGATACTTCCACTGACTCGGTATGTGCTGTCGATTTAGGTATTTTGGTTTTATATTATACCTCATTTTGTTTGGTTGTTGCCTCTTGAAGAGTACCACAACATTTAGTCTGCATTTGATTTGGCTGTATATTATGATGTCCTTTTGTGTGTTTGGTCGATTAATTTAGAGAAAACACAGGTTTGCATATATCCCAATGATATCTTGGTATTCATTATGTCTTTTTGTTTCCTTTGGGTCCATAAATTCTTCTTCGTTCTGTATTGGACCTCCCTTGTTCCTTTTTTGAGACATTCTGAAATAATCCTCCCTCTATCTGAGTTAAAGTTACTTTTAGTCTCCCCTATTCACTCAGCTTTTAGTATTATTCTTAATCTATGCATACGTTAGAATTGGCATTTAGAAAGGGATTTATCAATTTTCCACATTGAGGTCTCAAATTCTATTTTATCTATTAAATGATGATAATAATGGTGATTCCCATAATTTATACTAGTATGTGCATTGATGTTACATTTTTGCATGTGTATAACATTCTCATTCAATCTGGTCAGGTATCTCAGAGCAACGCATTTGTTTCTACCCCAGGAGAAGCTGTAACAGTGGCCCAAGAAGTTGTCACAACCATGATAGCCAAGGGTTACGATTTAGGAAAGGATGCATTGAGTAGGGCGAAAGCTTTTGATGAGTCTCATCATGTTTCAGCCACTGCAGCTGCAAAAGTAGCTGAGCTGAGCTATAAAATTGGGCTTACACCAAAACTTTATGCAGGTATGGAAGTTGTCAAGTCTGTGGATCAGAGGTACAATGTTTCTGAGACAACAAAATCTGCTGCTTTGTACACTGGAAGAACAGCGGCTTCAGCTGCCACTGCTGTTGTTAACAGCAGCTATTTCTCTAAAGGAGCTCTTTGGGTTTCTGATGCTCTCAGCCGAGCAGCCAAAGCAGCAGCTGATTTGGGTACTCATGCTGGTAGTAAATAAACATGTCCTGTATGTAAAATTGTATAGGCGTATAGCATTCCCATATTGGATTGGAGGGAGTGCTAGTTAGTCATCGTGAATTGTGCAAATGACACCTCCATATATCCCTAGTCACCTTCATAAATCTACGAAAAACCACTTTTTAAGTGAAGGGATTATATGAGATGGCACCATGATACATATTTTTTTACAAATCTCTCATATTTGATTAATGTTGGCTGAGCTGTGTGTGCATGTTGAAATACGAAGTACAATTTCTTATTTCTTAGTAAATATTACTTGTACCATCAAAGTTGGACAATCAGCGACACTTCAGAATGTGCATAATCACCTACTACGCTCCTGAATTATTCTGTATACTGCTCGAGTTTTAGAGGTAGCATTTCTGCGTAGTCATAATCCCAATTGGGAACAGGCTAATGTTCATTTATTTGGCTACCATGCCCAGATGCTCCCTAACTCTATCCCTTAGACCCTTGATGCACACTCTTGGCTATGCTGCTGGTGCAGCCGACAAGCTAAGTTACTATGATAACAGTTGAAGTTAATCAGCGTTACTAGAGTCTAAATATCTAACTCAAGCTCAAGCTGTCCATCGATCACGAGTTTGCTATAACTTGCTTTGCTTGAGCTAAAGACAGTAATTATAAGTTGCTAATAATTGAATTATTACTTGATGTGTTATAAAGGCGTTCATTCTGCCTCTCTTGTAGATTTGTAAGCGATTCAAGTACTCTTCTAATAGCCAGGAAACCAACCAATGACTTTACGAAATCCGGGCAAAAAAAAAAAGAAAAAAAAAAAAATATAGAAAGCAAACTCCCCTATCACCCTATGTTTATCATGGAAGTCTAGATAAACATGCAACCTCAAGCTCTAAAACTAAGTGTCATACCACCAAGTAGCACTATCAAATTTCAAACCGGAATCGTTTATCTGTCCGAAACCGACCGACCTAAATGTGAACGGAACCGATTTAAAACCAATCTTTTAAAACCGAAAACCGATCCGAACCGTATTTTAGTAAACACGAAACCGAATTGATCCGAATAATGTTAAACCGTGAACCGAAAAATAAACCGAACCATAGTTAACTCGATTCGTTTCTAACTCGAGACCGTATAAACCGGGTTAAAAACCGTTTACACCGAACTGTTTACAAACCGCAACCCGTTTGCACTGAACCGTTTACAAATCGAACCGATTACAGACCGAACCGTTTACAAGCCGAACCACTTATAAACAACTTATTATAAAGGGAGATTAAAATCATGTTTAAAGGAATTTTAAATGAAATTTAATCATGCACACATGTTTACTACAGAGTATATTATTACTAGAGTATCTGTTAAATTAGTAGTTAGTTCATTGTTAATTTATTTTACGCATAACTGATTTTAGACTATGTTCATGCATCATTATTATTACTTCATTAACGCATCTGTTTTTTTCTTTTTTATTTGAGTAATCATTAGAACAACTATAGAAGAAAAGAATATATATAAAAATATATATATATATACTTTCGCCGTTTCGTTATAGTTGCAACACACACTTTATCACGGTATTTAAGAGAAGTGGACCTCACATTATATATTACACTTAAAATGTAGTTAAGAGATTGTTAGGAGTATTATAAAGTGGGCCATAAGCTTTATTTATTTATTTATTGAGAAAAGTGGGCCATAAGCTTTAAATAAAGGTAATAGTAAAATTTTCACCATAAAAACCTTCCTTTTATAGTGTGTTGCAACTATTGTGACATTTCCATTTTAGGGAAGTGTTGCAACTATAAACAAACGAAGAAAGAATATAACATTGGGAGATGACAATAACCAATCAAAACAATTTTAAACCGAAACTGTTTAAGAGTCCGAAGTTGACCGACCCAAATGAGAACCAAACTGATTAAAAACTTATTTTTTGAAACTGAAAACCGACTCGAACCCTATTTTATAAGTAAAACTGAAACTGAATCGATCCAAATAATGTTAAACCGTATAAGAACCGAACCCGTTAACGAACCGAACCAGTTCTAAACTAAACTGAAATAGAACGAATCTAAAAAGAACCTAACTGATTAGGGGATTTTGCTCCCACCAATCGGAATGCGCCACGTGGGCCAATCAGGTCCTTCCAAATGATTAGGGGATTTTGCTCCCACCAATCGGAATGCGCCACGTGGGCCAATCAGGTCCTGCCAAGTGTTCCCCAGTTGGACCTCTCAGGGCTTGCCACGTGGCACACGCTTATTCGTCCGCCTTGGACCTATTATGTCATGACACGTGGCATACTCCATGCCTAATGGAGAAGTCGGCCACCCAGGCCCAACTTCCGAGGGAAGCCCAATCAGCCCAAGGTTAACCTAAACCTAGATTGGCACGTTTCCCGAGGTTATAAATACCTCCCTTAATCCTCATTAAGGGAGATTACGCAGATTACACACATTAAACTCTCTCACCTAGAGAGACCCAATCACTTTAATTTCCGCATTAATTACTCCTTAATCAAGTACTAACTTGACCGTCGGAGGCGGATCTCCAATCATCCGGAGCATCCGTTTGTTTTGCAGGTACAGGCGTCCGGTTCCAGTCTCGGAATTGTAACTCTCGCGCAGGACATCAGAAAACCCCGAAACATCTTGGCGCCGTCTGTGGGGAGAGTACTTTTGAGATGACATCCACGTTTGTGCCGGCTCCTGAAGAGAGACGTCCCCTGGACGACCCTCTAGTTCAGTCGGACCACGATACTGAGAATGAATTTGAAGTTGAAGCTCACACAGCTTCAGACGGGACCCTAAGGGCCCGACGTACCCGTCATACCGAAAGGAGGGAACGGGAACATCTTCAAACTGGAAGCAATCCAGCAGGCGCACCGCCTGTTCGGCAGCAGCCGACTGATGGGTCTGCTCCCATCACAAGGAACGAACTCATGACCTTCATGAGGGACTTCAAGGGAGAAATTCAAGAGTTGATCAACAAGAAGCCGCCTGCTCTGGACAAGGAGCAGTCGGCTAAGAAACCCTCCACTTCACGGAAGAGGAAGCCAGTTCAAGGGCGAGAGGCGACCCCTCATCCTAAATCTAGGAAGTGGGAGCCACCTGCCCTTGATTTCACAAAATACCGTTTTCCTACTCCAGGAAATAGGAAACCTGTTCGTCATATTCAGGCGGACGGGTCGAGGAAAACATACACAGACGCTCGGCTACTTCTAGAACAGAAGAAGAGTGACCGATTGTCAGAGTCGGCCTCTACTTCAAACTTCCAAGACAGTCTGCGAAATACCTCGATGAGGCATACTCAGTCGTATCATGAGAGTCAGTCAGGCGACACCTCCCGTCAGTCCGGCTTTCATAGCGACCAGGCGGTACCAATCTTACCGTTTGTACCGCAACAACAGTATTTTTTACAGCCACCTCCGTTTGGTGGACATGCAGCAAAAAATGTCCAACCTATGGACTGACAGCTACGGTTGCTTAGACTTGGTGAACAGCCGTCGGCCTTCTCCAAGGAAATTACTGAAGCCGCTCAGCCGGCCAAAGTGAAAAATGTATTAGTAGGCGCCTATGACGGCACTACTAACCCAGAAGACCATCTGATGACATTCACCAACCTGATGTACCTTCAAGGGTTGGATGATCCCACTTGGTGCAAGTGTTTCCCAGCGACTCTCAAAGGAATCGCACAACAATGGTTCGGCAACCTGCCGACTGGTTGTGTAAATAACTTCAAGACGCTTGCTTACTTATTCACCTCCAACTTCGCCATGAACATCCCTGCGAAGAAGACGACCCTTGATTTAGGAACAATTCAGCAGGGCGAGAAGGAGGGGCTTCGTTCTTACATCAGGCGGTTTAACCTGATGAGAATACAGATTCAAGGGTTACCGGATGAAGTAGCCTATACTGACTTTTTCAGAGGTCTCAAAGACGGGTCGGCCTTCAAATTTGGTCCGAAAGAGGGTGGCGACTCTTCAAGAGGCCTTGATTGAAGCGGAAGCCTATATACAGGCGACTGATCTTTGTAGTACGGTAAAACAGTCAGACGGGAAAAGGTCCGACAAAAGAGAAGGACGACAGAAGCAGTCGTCAAACAAAGACGAGAAGAGAAAAGAGGTCTGGGCAACTGATTCCTCCAAACAGCCGTCCCAGAAGAAGAAAAAAGAATTCAAACCATACTCCCCAAAGTATGTGTTTAACAAGGATAACCAATTTATCCTAAAGGAAATCAAGGGACGGATCTCAATTGAGAAGCCGGTCCCCATGAAGGGTTCTGCAAACAATCGGAACCAAGAAAAATTTTGTGATTATCATGAAGATGTTGGTCATCACACCAATGAATGCATCAGTCTCATGCGGTATCTGGACCGCCTGACTGAGCAAGGTGATCTTGACACTTATGTCAAGAAATCTACAGGGAACACTTCCTCGAAAAAGCAGTCGACCAAAAAGAATCAACAGGCCGACAACTCCTATACAGATGATGCAGTCGTCTACACCATTGCAGGCGGCTTCTCAGGAGGCGGCCCCACTATTAGGGGCAACAAAGACAATATCAGACGGTTAGATGTAAATTCCGTTCACCAAGAACGGCCCTTCAAATATTCATTTCCTGAGATTGTCATCACTGAAGAAGATCTAGGAGGGGTAAGAGGGCCGCATGACGACCCTATCGTCATTGAATGTAAAGTGGCCAACCAAAGAGTTGGCCGAATTCTCATAGATACCGGAAGCTCCTCAGATCTCATCAGTAGCAAAGGTCTGTCGAAACTAAAATATCAGACTAATTGCATACATCCGGCATCCCACCCTTTAGTAGGGTTTGGAGGAGGAGTCGTCCACCCAGTGGGACGAGTGGATTTACCCATCCGCCTGGGCGAAAAAGGGGAAGGACGACACATGGTAGTCCGGTTCCTGGTAGTAGAAGAACTCTCGGCCTACAACATGATTCTGGGACGACCAACCCTGAATAATTCCAAGGCTGTTATAGATTAGGGGATTTTGCTCCCACCAATCGGAATGCGCCACGTGGGCCAATCAGGTCCTGCCAAGTGTCCCCCAGTTGGAACTGTCGGGGCTCGCCACGTGGCACGCGCTTATTCGTCCACCTTGGACCTATTATGTCATGACACGTGGCATACTCCATGCCTAATGGAGAAACCGGCCACCCAGACCCAATTTTCGAGGGAAGCCCAATCAGCCCTAGGTTAACCTAAACCTAGGATGGGCACGTTTCCCAAGGTTATAAATACCTCCCTTAATCCTCATTAAGGGAGATTACACATTAATTACAGAGATTACACAGAGATAACAGGCTGATCACGCT